GATTTTGCCATGTTAGTTGGGCTGGTCATGAACTCCTGACCTCAGGTGATCCACCCATCTTGGCTTCCTAAAGTGCTAGGATTACAGACATATGCCAGCACACCTGGCCTAAAATACTTTTGAAAAGGCAGAAAAGAAAAATGATCAGGTTGTAACTGTGCAACAGTCTCACCTTGCCTGCCGCTTAGACACCCAATTTATCATGATGGGAATTGCAATAAAGAGAAATTCGTGTGTAGCCCACTATACAGGAGACCAGAGTTTTATTGTTATTCAAAATCAGTCTTCAAGAGAGTTTAATGAATGCTAGGCTAGCCACATGGCAAATGGAGTCATTACTCAAATCAATCTCCCTGATAACTCAGATGCTAGGGTTTTCATGGATAATTTGGTGGGCAAGGGACTAGGGAGTTGGTGCTACTGAATGGCTGGAGATGAGATCATAGGGGTGTGGAAAATGGTCTTGTACACGGAGTCTACTTCTGGGTGTGGTGACTGAGTCAGATGGGGTTAGCTAGTTGCCAGAATTCAAAAATCTGAAAATCATCTCAAAAGGCCAATTTTAGTTTCTACAATAGTGATGTTATCTGTAGGAGCAGTTGGGAAAGCCACAAATTTTGTGACCTCTTGCCACATGACTCCTAAGCAGTAGGGATTTTAGAAACTATACCTATATTTTAGCAGAATTCAGGACCCTCCCATAATCCTAATCTTGTGGTCTTTCATTAGGGCAAAGGGGATTAGTTTTAGGGACTATTACCATCTTTGCTTCCAAGTTAAACTATAAACTAAATTCCTACCATGGTTAGGTTGGCCTATGCCTAGGAATGAGTGAAGATAACCAGCCTGTGAGGCTTAGAAGCAAGATGATGTCAGCCATGTTATATTGCTGTCACTGTCATAATCTTTGTAAAGTTGGTTTCAATTCCACACTCATGGTGTCCTTTACCTTATTTTATCTCTCTTATTTTCTGTAAATAGAAAATAGAAAAATGCTTGACGAATTCAAGTTTAACATTTTTGGTGTACAATCCATTTTTGATGTTATTTTGTATTTCATTACATCAGAAGACATATCTGGTTGGCCCACTGGTAGTTGCCAAGATTGAGTACTAGGTTAAGATAATGACAATGTGATATTACACACCTAGTGTTTAGCTTACAGCTAGAAAGCAGTCTTTTGGTATTACTTCAGCACTGTATGAGTCAGTTCTCCTTGAACCATGTACCCAATTGTCAATACTAGTTGCTCTTCCTTGCCTGAAGCTAGGGGTGTTTTGTTGTTTGCTTTTTTAAAAATTTTGCCAATATTTCAATAATAAATTCTTTATATTTGTTGGTGTCTTGTCTTTCCGTTATGGTCAGGTCCTGAGTCTTGGGCTGGTACCTTTTTTGAACTCCCGCCATTCTTAGAGAAATGTTTCTGCTGGATTTTGTGTTTCTCCCTCTTGTGGCCAGAAAAATGATGCTCTGTGATTAATACATTATTTTGAAAATCAGCTGGCATTTCCCTTGGTTATTTTAACAGGCTCTGGACTGTTTCACAGCAATGCTTTCTGAGCATACAAGCAAACTGAAAATGGCAGAAGTTATTGGAAGCAAATTGAACATTTCTAGAAAAAAGGTATGTGTGCTGAAAGGAGGCTGGGGTGTTTGCTTGCTTGCTTGCTGGTCTTTCGTCCTTAGTTGGAACAGCTTTTGAAGTGGTGCTTCTTTCTTAAAAGCTGGTGCTTTTATTGCTGCCTATCATGAGCATAAGACTCCCAGATCCCCTAGTTAAATAGTTCTTCATATGTTCCACATTCTTTTT